TTAATGTCTTTGTGAAAATGGTTTTAGAAGAGATATAGAATGTTATGAAGGATGAAGTTTTTGGTACAGTTTCTATGGAAAATATTAGTTTAACATCACATATGGATTCAACTTAGATACATCAATAATTGGTTGTAGTTAGGGTCTACATTCTCAAGTTTTAACCTATTTCATTTTTCACTTTAAATATTATTTTAAAAGACATATCCATTTCAGACATTTTTGTGGCAATGCATTACTTCTATAGTTACTAAAAATGGCTAAAACAAGTAATGATTATAAAAGAGGCTAACATGTAAGTTTTGAGGGGGGAAAAACATACAAATTTAGTTCAAGAAAATTCATTTCTTTATTTGGGTTGGAATTTTATGGGTAGCTTGGAAGCAGCATCAAGCTTTGCAGACTTTCCTGCTTCTATTAAAAAATTAGAAGAGTGAATGACTTCATAATGAAGCGATGAAGGGCATTGATACTGTTTCAAAGAAGGAAATACCAGAGTCTGTAGATGATGCATTGCCATCAAAGGTCTCAAAAATTCAAAGGTCTCAATTGTAGTTATGCAGAGATGAAAAGCACAAATGCAGGAAAATTTCTCTAGAAGATTAAATATCTGGAGAGTTATTGTGGCAACAAAGAGCAGTGAAATCTAAGAATAAATACCATTGGCTTCATATTGTATTTGGAGAACCTTTTCCCTTTTCAAGTGTGTGTAGAGAGGCAATAGGATTCCTTCACAGACAAAATTTTGGAATTGAATGTGATTGTTTGTTGGAACATAACATCTTACAGAAAGTGAAATTGTAGGCTTATTGTCAAACAGATTTTTTAAAAGTTGCAACATATATTTATTTTTTAATTTAGGTACTTTTCCTTAAGGATAATTTGTTTAAGTACAGAAGTAAAGTGATTTAGTAAAGTGAGTTATTATTTTAAATTTGTTATTGCAAATATTGTTCACCTGTACTAACATGATTAGAAAAAATGTATAAATACTTCCTAAAATGGGCTAAATATTTTTTTTTATAAAATAAATGCTTAAATGTTAATAAAATTCTAAGAATCTGGGCCCTAGTTAATATAACCAGAAACAAAGTCCATTTTCATTAAAATGTAGGTTGTCAGGAAATAGATATGGTGTCAGGGCTTCAAGTTTGATGGAGTATTATTTGCAATAAGTAGTTACAATATTAGTAGTACATGGGTCCAAAATAATTATAGGTTTTCATTGTCTTAGATATTTCTATAAATAAGTCAGTTCTAATGTACAGTACTACACAGTTTCTAAAATTGTAAGGCCAGTTGCAGTTTTTTCCTAGTAATTTTCAGTTTTAAATTCCCTTATATTTTCAGTAATTTCTTAAAACATACGGCAATTTGTGTTAATATTGTTTATATTATAGTTTGGTTAGTTTACATCAGACAAAGCCTAAGCAGGATGTAAAACGAATGTCGAGCCAACAGCTTCGATGTAGAAATACCATGTGTATTTTTATATGAGTTATTAACCAGTGTGTATATGTATGCATGTACCTGTATAAATTAGTATTCATATAATGTTTTAAAATAAATACAGGACACCGGATTTTTCTCCTCAAAATATTGTGTAATCACAAAAGACAAAGACACATCTGGTAATTGGATGATCTCTTTTACTTTATATGTGTTTTAAATCTGGTCAACAGGGATCATGTATTTGGGAATTAAATGGGGTGTAAAAGAAAAATGTTGTTTTATGTCCAAAATTTTACTTTTGAAAGATAAAATGTGAAAGAATAACTCATTTTAAAGGAAGTTTAATTCTCTACAGCTTCAACTACAAGAATATTGCTGTAAAACTACAAAAACTATAAAACTGCTTTCCATGTAAAATTGTTCAATTTTTTGCGTGTAAAATTCAAGTTTGTCAATATTAGCAATGTGAGTAATTACCACCCTATTGCATTTATAAACTCCTGTCCCAAAACACTTTGAGAAATTAGTGTACAACATCTCGATCTCCAGGCTCATACATTTTTCTCATCTGAGCAACATGGTTTCTTATCTGAAATGTCTACTGTAACAAACCATACTAGTAACTTTAATAACTATTTATTCCAACACCTCAACAACCATAATCAAAATTATATTATGTACACTGACTTTGCTTAAGTATTTGAAAGAGTTATCATCCAAGACTTACTTGACAAATTCAGAGATGGGGAATTCCACAATCAATTGTCACTTGGTGTAATTCTTACCTGACCCAAAGGGCTCATATTTGTTTGCTATTGTGGTGCCAGGTCAAGAAATTTTAGAACTACATCTGGAGTTCCTCAAGGCTCACACCTCGGTTCTCTCTATTTAATGTAACATCATAAGCAACAATTTACTCCAGTATTAATCTTGATGATGCTACATTTTGTAAGTCTGTTAATGAAACATTGGACACTATACTTTTTCAAGAAGATTCAGACAGGGTTGAGACTCAATGCCTGAAAAATGTTGTAATTCTAAATTCCCCTGTGTGCAAATTGGTTTGTATGAGATCTTGTGAACGGTCTAAGTTATATTTATGAAAACAAAAAATCCTTTTTTTAAGGCAGGCTTTAATTTACAATTTCTTTAAAACATAAATGACATAGTTAACACATAAATTCACATCTTGGAATGTACAAAGTTTTAACAAGTTTTTTTTTGTATTTTCTGGTACACAATTGCTTATTATAACATAATTATAGATTTACACATATTTTTTTCTAATTTCTTAAATCTAGAAAGCGAGGTACAGAAAGAATTGGTTTAGATTCAATTTCTTGTAGGTTTGGAATTATAAAACTATTTTCTAATAAATAATTACAAAGTGAGTACGTAATAAAGAAAATTCATAGTCGCATACCTCATTTAATTTGGTGAATTATGTGGATTTTTGTGTAAAAGTTCAAGACCACGTTGAATGATTGTTTTTATAAGCAAATTGATTTGTATTTCTAATAAACATACATTGCACTACTTACATCGTTCTATATAAAACACTAGTCTGACTCATTTTAAAATATGCCTCCCCAACCTTATCTTCCACAAGACATAGCCCTTATCAAGTCAGTGCAGAATAGACTTCTATAGAATAAAGTATCCTATGTATGAAATGAACTGATCTCATTTAACAATCATGGCTTCAGCCCTTTATTAATGAAACTGAACACTTTACAGAACAGAAGAACTATTATTGATATGATATTTCTTTTCAAAATTATCAACAGTATTGATCACAGCAATCTCATTAATGAAATGGCATTCAATATACCTTCATGAACCTTGCATCGATCTAACAATTTTCACTGAAATGTAGTGAAAACATTCATAGGTAATAATGATATAGTGCAGACTCTCGAGATTAGGGAATCAATTTGGAATAAAATTATTTATTTTGGAATCCCACTCTCAGCTTTCAAGTCGAAACTCCGATTAGTTTAAATTTAACTGATTAATATATGAATGGCTACTAAGTTTTATGATTTCTTAAACAGGACTTAAATGGATTTTCAAAATTGTTTACTGTAAACAAATTGTTTTATTCTTGTTTTTATTGTATATTCAGTGTTATGTAATGACTTTTTTGTTTTTGTATCTCATTGGTATTTTGTTTATTTCTTGTATTTTGTAGTTTTTGCATTTAATAGCTCATACTTTGTAACTTTTCTCTTTCAATAATAGTAAGCTTTTCTTTATCAATTTTCTTGCATATGTGTTACAACCTGTTTAAGAATAAATAAATTACCTCAAAACATTTTGAAATAAAGTATTTTTGAATTTTTTTTATTTTCACCAACAAATAACTTGAAAGCTGTTGGAAAAAGAAGAATGGATAGAAAGCATCTCATAGGCAATTTTATCTTTCATGTTGAATGAAGTAACTCTTTTAATGTATTGCACCATACTCGATAAATTAGTAAAAAAACAATTTTCAGTTCACAGGTGTTTTGAGTGGTAAGAATATAACCGTATTAAAAAGTCCCTGGACCTACTAAAATGGGGTATACAAAAGCACATATAAAGTCTCTATTTTGATTTTTCTTGTGATCCTAAAGGGTTGTCTATAAATGAAGTAACACTAAAGAATGAGTGAGAGGTTTGAGACAGCATTACATGGGGGTGGGGAGTGTTAGTTTAATGTTATGTCATCCTGATACTAATTTATTTATTTTTTCAATGTTTGCCAATGTTGTTCAATGTCAGCCATTAAAATATTAACAAATTGAATTTTTTTAAAAGTACACAAATTAAAATGTGGTTTTGTATAAATTGTTACAATAAATTGAAATTTTCATCAAGAGTTTATCGATTGAATCTGTTCGACTACAAAGAAAATGTTCAAAATCGATCTACAATGTATTCTAAAATCCAATTGAATTGGCGGAGTACTCTTACCCATGCGTCATCCATGACATGCACTGGTCTAAAATTTTCTTGTTTGTGAGTCCTTCCTTTACAGAAAATTGTCCCCTATCGTGTTATGTACAATCAGCATTGTCAACAAATTCCGACTTCAATTATAAATTGATATTTATATTAATAATTAAGATAGCCCCTGGGGCAGCTCATGGACAATGTGGTAGATTTTTGTGAGGTGGTCTAAATTGCGATTCCCAGCGAGGGCAGCTCGCGGTAACTTTATAACGTATAGCATCTCAGTTTCTATAATAGTGTGATGAAAAAGCTCACTCGGGACTAACAAGCTCGATATACTGATGGTAATATGTCATGTTAATCTCATGCCTCCCTTACAGGCATGGATAGTAAAACAAAATGGGGCCCAGGCCTGGGAACACCGCTAGCTACAAAATGTAGAAGTAATCCAACCCTAAATATCAATACAATCATTATTTAGGGGGTTCGAGTGTGAAGAAGAGGGCTTTTTTAACATAATTAAAATTTGTGTTTCATAATTTAAGGACAACCTCGAAGTAGAAAAACCGATTGGTATATTTTGCCATAACACCCAATAGTGACAATGGGACATTGCTGTTCAACGAATCTTTTGTTGCCTCTACAGTGTAACAATCTTGGAAATACAGGGCAATCCCATATTTCACAGGACCTATAGGAACCCTAGAATAAACAAAGTGAGTGCTTGTATTATAGTAGTTTTTAATTGAGTAGTTTTAATCTCTGAAACCTTTTTTGGCCAATTTATGATAATTCAATTAAAAATCTGTTAATTTCTTCTTTCATAGTTCTATTAAGCTTTTATTAAATAATATGACCCTATTTGGGATACATGAAAGGATTGTTAATTAAAACAATCCATAAAGGATTCAGAAGATCTATTGGGTGAAATAATGTAAAAATTTCACAAAACCAGCTTTTGTTTGGGAAATGTTTTTTACTTCACAAGCAGAGTACAATATATAGTCATCACGTCGCTGAAAATGTACATGTCTTGTGCATGGTGCAAAAATGTATTTTGCCAGATCTACAGAGTGCTAATAAACAAACAAAATTACCAAAAACACAGTTAGGGTGTAATGAAGTTTCTACTTTACCGATCAAGCTAAGTACATGTACCATTTCCCAATCGACAATGAAAACCATCAATATGGGGATGTAACAAATTAAACTGCTGATGAAAGTGCAAACAACCCAAATCTTGTTGTAAACACAGGAAAACAATTTCCTGACACAAAACACACAATCGTCAAATACTACAGCATTCAATCACTCAATCAATGCAGCAAAATCATCTTTGGAGTCTAAAACACACATATTTGATGACAATTTATGGTTTGACAAAATACTTCACATGAATATTTTATAGATTCTTCTAACATACTGCATAATTCATATTTTAATTAACAAGTAACTTCAAATAAATGTATGAGGCTAATGAGAGAACTTATATCAATATACAACAAAATAATATATTCTTATACTTATAATCACATCCATATTCAGCTCATGCATTTGAAATGTGAAGTCAGTCAGTCAATCTGCAAACTACTCCAGTACCTGGTTTTCGGTAGGAGATCATGGATAATATTAACTTGGATCCTCATTACTTGTGAAATAAATAATTTGCGAATTTTACATCTTTCACAGAAAGTGTTGAACAATTCAATAGTACTTCTGATTAGTCAACGATATGTTTCACATATCTTTGCACAACATCTTGCTGAAGTAAAGTACACTAGTTTTGAGCTATTTTGTCATGCAGAGCATCAGTACATCACAATCATTTTCAGTCTAATGGTACCTTAATGTTCCAAAGTCAGGATGTACAGGCAAGAACTAGGTATGAACATATTTCAAAATTTACATGTCAAATGACACCATTGATATTATCACCTAAATTTAAAAAATTCAGGAAACTAAAAACTTATAAACAATTCTGAACGGACCAGTCTTGAAAGATAAAATGCACAAGGTTTTATACCCAGACAAAATACAAAACACTAGCCTTACACTGTATCTGGGTCAAAAAGTACAGCTCTTCGTATGAAGCAATTCCAATCAATTTACCATTACATTATTACATCAGTTTGAAAAAATAACAAAATGCTATAAATAGCATTCATCAAAGCACCAACTGAAATATGAGCAATATACTATGTACTTCACTGAGCTCTTTTCCATTCTTGATTTTGAGGCTAGGGGAGAATATAAGGAAATTATATTTGAACAGGCACTGGAGTTACTTTACCACCTGCCTGCTAAAGCAATCAAATTACTAATTTTGAACTACTGAAGCTTTTGGTTCACATAAACTTATGACTATGTCTGACAACCAATCAGTATAGAGGTTCACAGATATACATAATGGACAGAAAAAACTGCTTCCTTTTGCCTTTATCCTTTCTGAACATAACTAATTATACTTATTTCACATATATATATGTACAGTCTTTAGGATGTTGCCATAGGAAGACAATACAATCACGGCAAACTAAAGAGGTCACCAGCCGATGGCAGGGGTGCTAGGCCACCAGTGACATCTGGAAGTTGAGTTAAATCAGGGAGATTCTGAATGTGAGATTTCACTTCCTGCCTAACAGCATATACTTTTTGGAGCTTTTCTGAATATTCCTAAAAAATAAAATTACAATATTTAATATTTTTTCAATGCAGAGTATACAGTATTCTTTTTATCTGTTTTCGACATCTTACCTCAAGTCTTTGTTCAGCATGAGAAAGCATGTCTTTCTGGGTTTGAATGAAGTCATTCAACATTTGCGTTACTTTTTTACGATCATCCATTTCCATTGCCAGCCGAGCATTATACTCCGTCAGTAGTTGGACTGCTTCATTCACTTGTACAGCTAATTTATCAGCTGCTGCTTTATCTGAAACATTTCCACATTTTGGTTATATAGACACATACCCATGTTCATTGTTTGGAAGAATATTGAAAACTTAAATGTGTCACGGAGGTAACATTCTACCTTCTAGTTTGTTCAGCAAATTTATTTCTGAGACTTCAGGTGGTAAATTGGCAATTCTCTCTCTAATAGCTGCATCACTTGAGGCAGAATTCTCCAAATCCTATTAAAGAAAAAAAAAAAAATTAAAATTGAAAAAAAAACAAAAACAAAAAAAACTAAACAAAACAAAGTTTGCAGAGAAACTAATTTTTAACCAACCAGCAAAGCTTTAATAAGTTCTTCTGGTTCAGGAGCATCTCTAGCAGGTGTGCGTGGAGATAGCATTGTGTGCTTCTCTTTCTTGCCATCAACTTCTACTTCAGTCTCAGATAATTTATGTTGCCTTGGAGGAGCTTTTACTCTATTAGATGCCTCTTTCTTTGCAGATTTTTCTGGTTCTTGCTCAGTTCTCACCTCCTCCATCATCTTGGGCTTCTTCTTTGGAGGTGTCCCACCATCATTAGCAGGTGGTCCCTCTACAAAACATTGGGTTATTTGTTTTTCATCATAGCACTAAATTCTTAAAAAATAGTTAAAAATGCACTTTAAAATCTCATCATATAAAAATACAAAGTGCAAAGGTAAGATGAGAAGAAACAACGAAATAAACTCACCCAAGCCTTTCTTAAATTCTTTAATAAGCCTTGCATCATACACAGCTCTATCCTCCCATATGCCCAAGATCCTCTCCAAACTCTTTTTGGTCTTTTCGTCGCTGTCGGGGCCTGATACGCACTCGAAAGCTTTGCGAAGAACGCCACCAAACTCTCTCCCAAACTCGGGTCCCTTTTTCTTGCTGTTTTGAATAACATCATTCGCCAAGTACATAAACGTCAATTTACGGTTATCCTTAGCTGAAACAAAAGCATTCGTTGATCATTATCCTGTATTTCGTTAATTTGAAAAATAAATAGGAAAGGACAATTGCATACTATGCAAGTTATGTAAATCATATAGACGAATTCGAATATGAGTACAAAACTCTCTCAAGTATTTGACAACACATCGTACTTGAAGCAAATACTGTCAACACACGTTATCAAACCTATGTATTGAAAATATCCAAAAGTAAGTAAATCGAAATGAAACTTGCCTTTTTGAAGCTCTTTGAACCACACTCGTACAATCGTTGCATGATGTTTGCGATGATGTATCAACCATAAAGATAGAGTTTGAATACTTTGTTGAGAACTGTTCAAATCTGCAAGTTTTTTGGCTAAAGCTCCCTCCGTAAACCCAGCCATCATATCAATCGTTTCAGATCAACTACAATGGCAAATATTAAACTTCACTTCTAACACTGAAGTAGTTCTAACACGTTCCGCAAGGGTTTTGTTTCCTCAGAATTCTCTGGACAACAGAACGCTCACTAATTTAGTTTGTCGCCGTGTCACTAGGTGCGCTGTTGCCAGTGTCGATTATGGAAACTTTCGATTAAAATATATTTGCGGGAAATGAGATAATCGATGTCTGTAATGATAATTGCTTTGAAGAATATACAACTAACTGATTATCCAATTAAAGTGCATCATGAACGTCCTGATCTTCACAACCCTCTTTGAAATGACAAGAAAAAAATTCAATTGCACTGTTGGTGTCTTTTGACGGCGACTGGGTTTGCAATAGATAATGGACAAAAATGGGATATCTTTAGTGATGTCCAGAAAGTTAATAATTGTAATGATAATTTATGACTAGCAAACTATTGCACATATTGTGTCAATGACATATTCCATTAAGTTCATAATTTCATATTGATGAAATCATATTTCCCTACCCAGGTCTTCAAACTTATATGCACATTTTATATCCATATTACTTTGGTTTGTTACGCTTGTTAATTGTATACATTAAATATAATTTTAGAATAATTGTGGTTTAATAGTGCTCTTACTGTATTGTTGCAAAATACGCGTGACCTTCGGTATGGTTATAATTATTAGAGATTACGTACACATCTTGGTGTATAGTATATAGAAATATTCATTCAACGCCATCTGTACACAAGAATTGCCTAGCCTGAAGAAGCTTTATATCAGCTGGCTACCAAATTTTTGTGAATAAAAATGATATATGAATTTTTCACAATTAAAGGCTCGGTATTCTTCTATGATTCGATTGCAGATACATTGTTTACATTTGCGTTGTATTAATTTAAGAAATTCCCGTTTATGCTATTTCTGGCTCGAGCGATCGTCCGATGTGGGCGCTTCAGACCATATCGCAATATTCAGACGTGTTCAAATTATTAGATCAAGATCTCTAACTTCAAAACATACAGCTAATTTGTGTTCAAAGGCTTCAATCTTCTGCGGGTCTTGACACATACAACTTATACAACTCATTCAACCTATACATTGATGATCATCATTTCGTTATCTTGATTTTTCACAAAAATACACTTATATAGGAGAAGCATTTTCATAGCGAAGCTTTTTGTCTAGATGTTTGTTCCAAGCTCGACCTGCTTGCTATAAACCGTGCAAACGACATACCATGACCCCATTTGACATTTCTTCTAAAATAGACTTGGCATTAAAAACAGTTTCAAAATCATAATCTTTACTTTGAACGACATGTTTCAAAAATTCTTCCATTTCATTGAGAATCTCCATAAACACATCTTCTGAAATACGGTTACGATATGCTGTTACTTTGAATTGTCTAATGTTCATCTGATTTCATTCTGTGAGTGCAATATCCCACAAAAACTCATTTCTTGGAATGTGGTTCAAGCTTACTTTCAGACGATTTAACCATGACATCAACTTCAGAACCAAATTGTTTGAAGTATGATACGTCGGGTGGTTTCCAGAAACGAATTTTATATGGCTATTTTTCATTTATTTTTTTGTCGGACTCTATATCGTATATAATTGGCAGTATTAACAGCTTTCGCATATAAATACAAAGGCAACCCTGATTGGATCAATAAACATATAGTAGTATCCCTCAGTATTCGACGTTTTTGTTCAGCAATTCCATTCTGTTCTGGATTATATGGAGTAGAGTCTGCGTAAATTTCATATTCAGAATGTCGTCAAAATATTTATTGACATTTTCAGATCCATTATCCGCTTGAATAGTTTCACTTTCGCATATACGTATGTGTATATACAGAGTAATAAACGTAGTATACGGAAAGTTGTGTACTGTTGCGGAAAATCTATTTAGAGATTTCAACAAAAATACACGTTTTGGGGGTCACCAAATACCGAAAAAGTATTTTTTTTTTTCAAAAGATCCATCGCCGACCGTCTGATGTCGGTCGAGTCGAATATTTGAGATTTTGAAAAACATTTTTTTAAAATTTGGGGTACTTTACATGAAGTATCCTGGCCATTTTCAAAATTTTCTTAAAAAACGGCTCCAAATGTTTTCTTCAAATTTTTTGTAAGAATAGAGTAACATTCACTTATAAAAGTGTCATAGTTCCGATTTTCGAAAATTTCAAAAGCATGAATTTATTTCGGTGTCTTCCTACAACTACAAACTTAAATGTGGAGATTGTTGCTTCAAATAAAATTTGTTGTTCATAATTAGTTATTTTAACGGTCATGTACACATTTTTGAAAATTTTAATAGTATTCGCGCAATTGCCTGCTATTGGCGCAATTAAATCAAAACAAGATTTCCTCAAAGACGGCTCCAAATTTTTCATTTAAACTTTTGATAGTGATAGTGATAAATGTACTCTATAAGGTGACATCAGTTTGCTCTATTCTTTGTTTTTTTTTCAAAACTTACAAAAAAAAATTTTAAATTACAAAACTAATTTTTTGACTTGCTTCTCACGTCGTTAACATTTGCGGCAATTAGTTAACATTATTGATTTTTGAGTACATGTGCTTTAAATAGTGTCATATAAAGCTTCTCGAAAGCGCAACGATTTTCTGTCAAAACTAGCTCAAAATTTCGCTATTTCAGAAACGCTCAAACGCTATTTTCTCAAAAACGACTTCAATTTTTTTCTTTAAACGTTTTGAACGGATAATGCTAATTGCACGGTTTGATATGACGTAATGTTCATTTAGGGGTATCATTTTAATTTTCCAAAAATTACATAAATGTATTTTTTTAAAATATTTCTCACGCCGTTAATAAACACATTTCCATCGATTTGTATACACTATTGTATTTGTGAATTAAAACGCTTTAAATGACTCCATGTGAAGTTTTTAGAAAACTCTAACTATTCTGAGAAAAAAAACTTCAAAATTGGAATTTACCGTAGCGCTTAAACCCTATTTTCTTAATGTGTCAAAAATGTCTTTCTTAAAATGTCAAAAACATGTACTTTGGGCGGCGATAGTTGGCAGTAGGCATGTGGCAAGTTCGAATAGCTAGCCGAGACCAAAGGAAATAGAAAACTGATACGGGAAAGTCTGTGCCACCACTAGTTTTACCTTTGCGTGTTTGTAAGTGAATGTTTAATGAATTTACCAATATCACCATCACATACCATACTCACTAAAATAAAGTTTTTATTGTACTATCAATTCATGACGAAATTCACTACTGCAATGAACTCTGTTTCTCGAACTCTGAAAATTACACGTATCTTCTGTGACTTCGTCGACCTTTCAAAACCAACGGTTGGAAGATCGGAGCTAAGGACTACATTTCCTCTTAAAATGAAGACATTATATTATACATAATTTTATATAAATTTATTTCATTTAAAATTGTAAAATTATTGAATAAGTAAACATTTTCAAACGAATTCTTGAGTTGTTTTTAAAAATAAGGTCATTTTCCAGTTCATTTGAAGAACTTTAGGTCATTTTCCTCTTATTTTTACGTGATTTTATAAGAAGTTTTTAAAGAATTTTTAGGTCATCAGACTCCGAGCCTTGCTTGTGACAAACTCTGAAATGAAACGACAATCGATGGAATGGAGGCACACTTCGTCCCCAACAAAGGTTAAACGCAAGCAATTCTTGACACTCCAAAAAGGCACGTTTCCCGTGTTTTGGGACAGCCAATACATTTTACTAGCTTTTTTTCATGAATAGGTGAAACAATCAATAAAGATGTGTATTGTGATAAACTTAAGAAACTATATTGTGTAATGCAAAATAAGCGAAGAAGAATTCTCTCAAAAGGCGCAGTTTGCATTCACGACAAGGCCCTAGCACACATTGCAAATGCGACAAAAAACTCCTTGAAAGCTGAGATGTTTTTCGCCGCCCTCCGTTCAATCCTGACCTCTCTTTAGCGATTTCCATCTTTATCTGCATCTGAAGTATTTCATTGGAGGTAAAACTTTCAACAACGATGAAGAGGTGAATTAACGTGTTACCATATGGTTGACAACAGAGGCGGCAACATTCTACGAAGAAAGATCACATAAATTTATACTACGCTATGAAAAATACGTGGAAGATTTCGGGAGCAATGTCAAAAAAGCGGGGAATGTTTTAGATGTTTGTGAAACAAATTGATTTCTTTATCTCTAACCGATTTCTTTTTTATTACCAAACGGAACTTACTTCCTGAACTACCTTCTAATTGTAGGAAAAGTCTGAATCAAAATAGCCGTGCTGCTAATCTTGCGAAAACAAACATGTCCGCTCTCTTCAACGACACATGCACTATTGTAATAAATGTATGGGCAACTCCGGATTTCTTCAGTCCTGAAGAATTCAAGAATTGGAAAAATTAAACAAGGGGGTGTAACAAAATGACACAGACTTTCTCGTGCTAGTTAGTTGATATTTCGTTCGAGTCGGAGCTACCTATTCGATTTTGCCGCGTCTTCATCAATCTAGGTGGCCAAGGGACCTACCAGGGCCTCCCACAGTATTCACCGCTTTCCTGGGAACCATGTCCAGAAAACGCTTCCTCGAGCCCCCGAACATTACGTCTCATCTTGGAGCTTACCACTGTTCTGGGAGTAGAGAAACACTTCAAAAACGCACACAGATATATTTCACACAAATCTCACACATTTACCGGCGAGACAAGAGATTGTGAAAAATTATGGAATAAAGATGATATAGGAAGGCTAGATAATAAAAAATTGTTACTCAGCTATTACATAAACTCTTATAAATCAATTTCTGAGTGGCTGTTGTAAAGTGAAGAAGATGATTCTGAAAACATTTATCATCGTAAGAATTTACTATTTGTTGAAGTTCACCAAAAGAGAATTACGGAGGTCATTTCATAAATAATGCACAGTTTGCCGACACTGCCTGCTGAAAGACGCGATGTTACTGAGAGTTGCGATACTTATAGTTCAAAGTCTGAGGAAGAATTAGGTATCTCGTTTTCATCAATAACTTGTTTCGTTATTGAATAACGGGTATTAGAAATGGAGCTTACACAGGTCTCGGGTACTGTGAGTGTTGATGATTAAATATCACATTTTCAGATCGAAACTTTACGGGGTAAAAACACGAATGAAATACAGAAAGCTTTAAGTGAATTGTGCGGTGAGTTTATGTGCGGTGGCCTGTAGCATAATTTCCCTTTGGGATTTCGGGAAGGTCGTATGAGACAAAACGACCACGCAATATCGGTATGACACACAACATCGACAGATAAACAAAGTGTGAAATTTGTGGCAGATGTTATTGAAAAAGTTCGCTTGTGACTTTTGAAAAAATCCCTGAAGTCACGGGAATTTCAATAACGTCAATATTTCAAATAATGTCAAGTGATTTATACTGAAAATGCACAAAGCCCGATCTCTGTTGCTCGACCACTCTGGGTCACTCATTTTCCATGACAACGCTCGCTCACTCACGGTCAAAGTCGGAACAGGAAAGTTCCACGAATGTGGTTGCGAAGTGTTACAACATGCACCCTACAGTCCAGACATAAGTCCACCAAACTTTGACCCAAAATTGAAAAAAAACTTCTGCGAGGACGTCGTTTTTATCCCTTCATGAGCTTTCTACAGCCGGTACCTCTTTCTTGCGATGAACAAAGAAGGGATATTTGATGGAATTCTAATGCTTCACAGTCATTGTAACTCGGTAAATGAGAAGAATGGAGTGTAACGTATTAGCCAGCGTGCCTCATGGCATCTATTTGGGGACGCTTGGTTGCGGATTAGTCTCGCCACAGGAAGTAGGGTTTTTCCGTAAAGGAAAGAACGCGGAGACGGGAGACACAAGGCTTTGGGTGTCTTCCGGCTTATAGAAGCTTTTCACTGTTATAACAAGCGAGGGGGTGGCGTGACGTAGGAGGTCACGTGGGCCTCGCCTATATAACAGAGTGTACGGAGCCAGTAGGCAGGTTCTGGAGACGGTGGGAGAACCTCGTGCGTGTGCACAAAACTTGGCGCCAAGACGGTGCATATGCGAGCCAGGCTCGCGAGGCTGGAGTCATTAGTTGACGAAGCCTGCGGACTTTATGTCCTTGGGTGACTGCGGTCACGGGGGAGCGATGCTGTGTGCGTGCTCCGAGGTGAAGAGTGGTTGAGTGCCACGATTCACGCCGATTCTCAATCGGATAAGATCGCTCCTGCGATCGAGGCAAACCAGCCGTTGGTGCGCCAGAACGGACTTTGTGTCCCAGCGTGACATCCGGTCACGGAAGCTAGGCTTTGTGCGCGCTTCAAAAGTAGGAGTGGCGAATGCCACAATCAAAACAATCTTCAATCGGGTTTTGGATCGCTCCCGCGATCAGGGGATAGTAGGTCTATCAGAGCTAGGGTGTAAGTAGA